ATATACATATATATATATATATATATATATATATATATAGGTATATAAATTTAAACCGGACGCTACGTGTATAAGAGAGGAAGCGAAATGAGCAAGATGGGCCACATCAGGGGAAGTTTCATTTCTTGAAGGGATGCTACGAAGTCAATGGACAAACTCGTGCCTTTACGCCAGACAGGGCACGCAGACAAACGCTGGCGGTCTCCTCCGGGAGCCAGCTGCTGCTGTTGCTGCTGCTGCTGCTGGGGCAGCAGCTGTTGCTGCTGTTGCTGCTGGAGCTGCTGCTCCTAGCGAATGCGACCTGCGTTGAGAGCGGCCAGCTTTAGCAATAGCTATCGTTTGTCGTTTTTTCTTTCGTTTTCCGTGTATGCCTGTGGTGGGTGGGGTAAGGAAGGAGAAGGAGCTGATGTTTTTGTTTTCTCATCATCATATTTCCATTTTGTTTTTAGGGTGTGTGCTCTGCGGTGTAAATTGGATTGCAGGTTCTTGCATTGTTGTCTCCTGTTACCGTTGCTGCTGAGTGTGTGTTGTTGCAGCTGCTTTGCTGCGCTGCAGCGCCTCTTGTTGCAGTGCCTCTTGCTGCAGCATACAGCGCGTGGAAGCGGGAGGTCCTGTCCCGCAGCAGCGTGCGAGGCGCCGCCAACTCCAGCAGCTGCCCTTCGCCAACTACCCCCACACGGTGGCAGAGAGACGGCAAGTGCTGCAGCCGGTGCGATATAAGCAGCACGCTGCCGCGCCTGCAGCAGAAGCAGAAAAAGAAACAAGAGAAAACAAAGAAGAATATGCAGAGAGGGGAATAGACTGAAGCAACAGATAAAATACACAAAAGAAGATGCCCTGGTGAGAAGAACGCCAGACATGAGATATACGCACACTCAGAAGACGACGGTTCGCGTTTAATTAGAATTCAATGGAGTAAGAGGAGGAGAGAAAGACAGACGAAAAAAAAAGGGGGCACTAACTACCACAATGGGGGGAGAAGATAAGCAAGCAAGAGTGCATATTATCCCTAATTTGAATACAGTTAAAATAGGAGATAAAAGAAGAGAAGGAGACTGTGTTTCGCTACATCTGCCTTTGTATTTGTACCTTAGACACCGCCTAACTACTGGCACGAGGACTTCTTTTTCTAGTGCGGGGTCCATGGCGCTGTTTGCCTCATCAAGACAGAGAATAGGGGCCTCCCTTAGAACAGCTCTGCAGAGACACAGCAGCTGCTTCTGTCCTACAGACAATCTAATGCTTTGGCTGCTGCTGCTGCCCTTCAAACCGCCGCTGCTGCGTTCGCCGCCTCCTCCGGAACGCTGCGCATACACCCCACGCTGCTGCTGCTGCTGCTCCTTTCCAGCAGCACCAGGATATGCTGCTGTCACACCACGAGACGGCAGCTCGCGGCCTTCGCTGCCTCCCAACGCCCCACCGCCTGCACACACAACACAAAAGCCCTAAACGCACACTCACAAACACTAAGAACAGCGGCAACAACACCAGCAGAAGCTGCAGCAGCATACGCACCAGCAGCACAAACAGCCGCCGCCTCTCCTGCCATGCTACAGTGCAGCAAAGCGGATTGACAGCGGCCCCCCATCGCCATCCGCAACAGGGGCAATGCAGCAGGCGGATGCCAGAGGGCTCCCTTGCGGGGCAGGCAGTGGATAGACAGTGAGCTGGCTAAGAAGGCATGGAGAGAGAAGAACAATAAGTAGAGCAGCAACGGCTGCAGCAACACCAGCAGCAGCAACAGAGGCGGGACGGACTGCCTTGAAGCTTGCGCGATCTTCTGACTCGGAATTCCAAAGCCGCGGCTTCATCGACTGCAGCAAGAGGAGTATCTAAACCCTTCATCCACATCAGCAGCACAAGCAGCAGCAACAGCTGCAGCCTCAGCAGCAGCAAAAGATACCACCAGGCACAGCGGCATAAAATGCCGTTGCCGTTCCACAGATTCATTAAACCAGCCGAGCAGAAAAACCCAAAAGACGCCAAGGTAGGCGCTGCATGCATAAAGTACGACTGTTAATAACAGCAATAGTGATAATAATGACAATGGTAACAATAATAAGAAAAGGAGAGAAGAAGAAAGACAGGAAGAAGGAGAAGAAGAACGAGAAGAACGAGAAGAAAACACAAACCCGGAGGAGAGAGTTCAGCAGCAGCGTCATCGGTTCCAGATAGAGAGGGTGAATGCAAGGGAAAAGAAAAAGAAAAAAGAACGAAAGTGATCTAACCTGAGGGAGAGCTCTAACAACTTTGTCTAGGCGACAGAGTTGGAGAGCATCAAAGAGCTCCGCCTCTGTACGTACACCCGCGGGGTCTAAATTGAATCGTACAGTTCCAGAGAAAAGAATAGGGGTTTGTGGGACAACAGCGAGGAGGGAGCGCAGCAAATGAACGGGGAGTCTCTGCACATCAACTCCGTCTATCTTTATACACCCGCTGTACGACACCATGCGGCTTAAAGCCAACAATAAAGTACTCTTTCCGGCTCCTGTTCGCCCTACTAAACCTAAAACTTCTCCTGGGTGCACTGTCAGCGATACTTCCCTTAAGGCTGGGGGTCCCCCAGCGCTGCACCAGCAGAAGCAGGAATAGACAGACACAGAAAAAGAGAAAAAAAAACAAATGCGCTCACTCGCAGCAGCAGAAACAAGGAACAACGAAGAACAGATTGTGATACAAAAATATACACAACAAAGTACATAAACAAAACACAAACGAAGCAAAACAAACACCGCAACGACAAATCCCCGTCTCGGAAGCCCAACACCAGCGAATGAAGTGTATAGATGAACAAACCAACAAACAAAACTGCCATCGAAAAGAGCAAATAAACTGAATCCCCTCCTTTGCCTCTGTCACGCAGTGTACAGACAGACGAACATACACACATCCTAAACAGCAAATGAACTACATTCCATTTGTATCTATCTACCTGTACGCCACTGTGACGTTTTCAAAGTCAATACGGCCGCGAGTGCGAAAGCCCAAGGACACTGAAACAGGAAAGAGCGGCGGTGCACCCCCTCTGCTTTGCTGCTGCTGCTGCTGCTCTTTGCAGGAGCAACGGAGGCCACCCTCCCCACTTTGATGAGCGCAAGGAGGAGTCCCAAACGATAGCAGCGTCTCGTACACAGCCAGCTTTGCTGCTGCAGCAGCTGCTGCTGCTGTCGTTGTTGCAGCACCACGGGAGGCACCAGGGATCTTCACAGGCCCTGGCGCTGGACAACACACATCAACAACTTTCTTGTCTGTACATACACCGCAACTTTCTAGCGGCTGCTGCTGCAGCAGCGGCTGCCGCTCCTCCTCTTTAGTACACAGCGGCAGCAAACTCGTGCTGGTGCTGCGCCTCCATGGAAGCAACCAACGAGACCATACGGAAGAGTCGGAGCCCTTTGCAGGCGTCTGCTGGGACCAGGGACGCTCTGTGATGACATCGTAGTTCGGGTCTTCCGCTGGTACCTGCAAGGAGCAGCAGCAGCAGCAGCAACAGCAACGGCAGCAGCAGCAGGACAACGCCGTCTCATGTGGATGATTTGTTGCGTGCCTCCCTCTCGTGTTTATTGGTTTGTTTGCTTCTGTCTCGCATGCGTGGTGTTCATTTTGCTGGTGGACGTCTCTCTGTGCTGCTGCATCTGTTGGAGCTTCCTCTCAGTCCTTGCTGCTGCCAAGTCTGGAGCAGCAGCAGCTGCAGCAGCAGCAGCACCAGGAGTCTCACCAGCAGGTAGTCTCGCACCCGTTCTACAGAGACCATTTGCACTTCAAGGCGAACAAAAGTGGTGATAGTTTGCGTCAGTAGACGCACAAGAGGGGACACCGCGTACAGACTAAGTGCAAGCAGCGCAGCAAGCTCCCCCCGAACCTGCAGCAGCAACAGCAGCAGCAACAGTAGCAGCAGCAGGATGAGCCTCGTCCCATGCCCCTCAAACCACAGCGAACTGCAACAGACGCCACAGCATCGATAAGAGGGAAAGTACAAACACCCACTCAATGCTGGGGAGAGGCAGTACAAGATACACCACAGTCAAAACTCAATACAAACAACAAACAAACAAGCAAACAAAATATCTAACAATAAACACACTAGCAAGCAGACAAACAAACAAAGAATAAACATAAAACAAACAAAAAAACAAACAACAGGACAACATATAAAGAACAGACAAAGAAATAAACAAACAGACAAACGAGCAATCAACAAAAGCAACAGGCAAACAACATGCGAACAAACAAACAAAAAACCAAAAACAAACAAACAAACAAAGGATAGAGTCTAAATATCTACTCAGCCAGAGGAGGTGAACGGAAGCTGACGGGCCCATCTTAAAAGATAGAAGCAGCAAAAGGAAGAAACAAGAGAAGACAAACAATCAGATTATGTCTCTTCTTAGTGTGCGCTGGTTGTCTCTTCTTCTCTCGCTAACATAAAAGGAAACAGCATAGACTAAGGAGACACAAGAAAGAAGATAAAAGAAGAAAACCACAAAAACAAATGCCTTTCTTTCATATCTATCGCAGCATTCAGGAGCTGCGGTGGGGCTAAGTGCAACGCTGCTGCAAGACCAAACGGAGACAGAAGAAACGATATAGAAGACAAGAGACAGCAGAGAACAGACAAGAGACAAGAGACAACAGATGTGAGACTAGAGAGAAGAGACAATGGACAACAAAGAGGAGACAACAAACGAGAGAGAAGAGACAGGAGGAGACTCTCTTTCAATCTTTCCAAGACCCACCTGTTCTAGCTGCTGTCTCCAAAAGTAGAGAGGCAACGTAAAGACAGCCAGCAGCAGCAGCTGCAGAGTAGCGCCAATTAGCTGCAGCCGCAGAGCTAGCCATGCTTGTAGACAGATATTCATGTAAGAGATGTTCCCGTACAGCAGCAAAGCACCCAAACAACGCCCGTAGTAACGACCCGCTGCCCTGCAGAACACAGCAGCAGAAGCAGCAGCAGCAACAACAGCAACATGCAGCATCAGCAGCAAAATGCAGCAACGAGAGCAGTATTTGTTTTCAAGGGAAAAACCGAACAAGGGGAACAGAGAGAGCAGGCAGCAACATTATATAAATACAAGCATAAACACAAATATACATACAAATATAAACATAAGTACACATATTTATTTATATATACAAATATATGCACAAGCACAAACATAACCACCCACCTACACACACACATATATATATATATATATTTTTTTCTAATTTATAAATTTATAAGTTTATATACGCGTATGCATCCATATGCACGCAAATGCATATATATACTCGTACGTGAGCACAATACATATGGATGTGCAGCAAGAGCAAGAGCAACAGCAAGGGCAGCAACACGAGCAATAACAAGAGCAGCAGCAAGCGCGGCGGCATGAGCAGCAGCAAGAGAAGCAGCAAGAGAAGCAACAAGAGCAGCAGCAAGAGCAGCAGCAAGTGCTACTGGCTGACCGGAATGCTCGAAGGCAGCGGCCGCCACCAACGGCGCCTGCGAGGAGACAGTGAAGGGGAGAGCGCGCAACAGTCTCAAGCCTCTTTAGCGACCTGAAGGAGACACAGCAACTCTAATTCATTTGCCTCATTTGTGCTGCTCTGCTGTTCTTCTAACAACTCCCCAAGCAGCTTAAATGCAAACAGCAGAAACAACGCAACGCGCTGCAGCAAAGACACCAGCGCGAGCATACCCAGCATGCAAACCAACCAAAGCAGGCCCTGCAGCAGCAGCACGTCAGGACCCGTACGCAGAAAAAGCAGCAGGAGCTGCAGCAGCAGGAGTTGCAGCAGAAGGAGCTACAGCAGCAGCAGCAACAGCAGCTGTAGAAGCTGCAATGCAGCTTTTTTACCTGATTGCTGCCCTGAGTTTGTTTGCTATGCGAAGCAGAAAGAAAGAGAGGAGTGGAACGAAGAGCAGCAAAGACGGGACTGACAGACTCAGCAGCGTTAGCTTCGCAACCATAGCCACTGAAGAAGAGAACAAATTACACAATCAAACAAAAGAATAAAACAAAAAAATAAAACAAAGCAATAAAAGGGAAACAATTAAAATAAAACAATAAAACAAAAGCATAAAACAAAAGAATAAAATAAAACAACAACGCAAAACACGAAAATAAAACAACAAAACAAAACCCAGAAGTAATATACTAAACAAACAAATAAAACAAACGAATAAAACAAAACAGTAGGGAAGAGAACAAAACAACAAAACATAAAACAAAACTCCAACGAAAACAAACAAAGGCAAAACAAACAATGAAAAGCGTCTTCTTCCTATAATACACGAAACCAGGACACGAAAAAACAAATATAAAGCAAAGAAAACTTTGAAACACGCAAAAACAAAAACAATCAAACAAATCAAAGAAATCAAACAAATACAACAAACTACTTCTTCCTGTTCTCCCCCTCGGAGAGCCCTGACAATCCACAGGACTTCTTTAGGCCTCATATGAGGCGATACATAAACATTATATATAAGTATATATACATAGTCATGTATGTAAGTATATATAGATGTATATATATATATATATATAATTGCGGTTGACTGTGTTTGTGTTTGCGTTTGTTTGTGATTTTCGCTAGTGTTCTTTGCGTGTTTCATCCCTTTGTTTTTGCTTCCGTTTGTTTGCTGCATTTGATGCTTTGTTTGTTGCGTTGTTGTATATTTGTTTGTTTGTGGTTGCTGCGTTTGTATATTCGTTTATTTGTTTATTGAGTAAGATTATGAATATAAAAATAGATTTATTTCTATGCATGCATGCCCTTGCATTATTTGTACGCATGTTTGGGGTGTACGTACTGATGATCAGAATATGCGTATGCAGTGCATGCGGCAATCCTTCATCAATACAAAAGACATCGTCTGCCAGTCTATTCAAAAGACGCCCAATTGGCTCTCGATCGAACCAACGGGGGGGGGCCCTGAACACCAGCAGCAGCAGCAACAGCAGCAGCAGCAGCAGCAACAGCAGCAGTAGCAGCAACAGGAGAAACAAAAGAGGAAAATAATGTTTGCTAGCAACACCAACAAAACTAAAAACAACAATGTAACACAGTACAACGCAATGTAAGGCAGCGAAACAGAGACAGAAATACACAAAAGAAACAAATATATATGCATGCATACAACGCGCATCCATCTGCATGCATGCATGCAAGGAAAGCAGCAAACAGCAGCCTTTTCGAACTGTCTCCTAACGGGAGGCCCGTCAGGTGTCTCTTTTATTTGCTTTGACTTGTTTGTCTATTTTGTCTCTCTTCTATTTCTCCTTTCTCTTGTATATTTTGTCTGTTCGTTTTTTCTTCTTTTTGTTTGACTGCTTCCGTTTTGTCTCCTTTGTCTCTCCTGTTATCTCTGCTATTTATCTATTTTATCTCGCTATTAATCGCCATAATCGCCTTTATCTCCTCTACCTCTTTAATCTCCATTCTTTGTTTATCTCTAACTACCTTAATCCCTTTAATCTTCTTTGTCTCTTTGATCTTTTTACTCTCTCTAATATCTATTTTTTGTTTATCTCTTTAGTCTCTGTAAACTCTGCAATGCTCTTTATGTCTTTTATTCTCTCTAATACCCTTTATCTCTTAATAATATCTTTAATATGGTGTGTCGTTGCTCACCTCAATACAGCAGCAAGAAGATTAGCCTGCAGCACTGAGGCTGCATTGGCTCCGCAGCGAACGAAGGCAGCAGTAGTAACAGCAGAAAAGAAAAAAGAAAGAAGTGCGAGGCCCCAGTAGCAAACTAAATAAAATAAATCTTCTACTCTCACCCCTTCCCACTGTATATACAACATAAACCGATGCAATCGAACAAAAGGAGGGGGGCCCCCAGCCGTCCATAGACGAAGCCAATAGTCGCTTAAAGTAATGCAGCAAGTGCTCGCCTGCAGCAGCAAATCAGCAAAAGCAGCATAAGGATAAGCAGCAGCAAAAAGATAAAATGGAGGGAAAACAACAGAGGCAGAAACATCAAAGCTGCTTTGCTGCTGCAGGTGGTGGCGGTGCGGTTGACAATGGGTTTGCTTTGCGGGTTTTGAATAAGTTGCTGCTGCTGTTGCTGCTGCTGCTGCTGCAGAGGGACTTGCTGCTTACGGCGCATGCAAGCAGCAGCAGCAGCACTAAGTGGGGCCCCGCACTGCGTATGTACAGCCGCCAAACCCTCCAAGCGACTTCTCCCCTTCTCGTTGCTTCGGGGTTAGCAGCAGCAGAGGATTCCGCATGCCAAGGCAGCACGGCCTGAGATGCCTTGCCTTCGCTGTCAGCAGCAGCAGCTGCTGCTGCTGCAGTTGCCGGTGCTGCAGCAGATGAACAAGTAGCAGCAGCACGGGTAGGCAGCTCCAGCGCCTCTCCCTCCACCGCGCTGCTCGACTCCCTGCAGAGGCAAAAACAGAAAAAAGCAACCAACAGCTTCTTATGCGTGCAATTGCATGCACATGCATGCATTTGGGGCTGCTTAGTGGTAGCCGTCTCCATTGCAAATCATGAAGCCCCCTCCTGCTCTGCCAATGCAGATAAGCGAGTAGCCGCTAGCAGCAGCAGCACCTGCTGCTGCAGCAGCTGCTGCTGGTGCAGATGGTGGCGGTGCTTACCCCTGTGTAAGAGGACTGAAGTTGGTTGCTGCTGCGTCGCGTTGCTGCTGCTTCACGTTGCTGCTGCTGCACTGGGTGGATTTGAATTTGCTGCTGGTGATGCTGCATCCCCCCCAGCCCTTATGCTTGCGCTGTAACTCATCAATTGAATACGACTGAGTTGCTGCTCCCCCAGAGAGCAGCACGAAGCTAGAGACTGCTGCTGCAGCGCCAACCATCAGCAGAGCAGACGGCTGCATCACCAGCAGCACTGTGCTTCCGCTTAATATCCCTAATGCACAAATTCACACGCAACTCAAACGATGCTCCTGCTGCTGCTGCTGCTGTTGCTGCTGTTGCTGCTGCTATGAGGATGCATTTATCTCCAGGTTACCCGATTGCTGCGTTCGCTGGTGTTGTCGTCCTTGCTGCTGCTGCTGCTGCTGTTGCTGCTGCTGCTGCTGCTGCTATTGCTGCTGCTGCTGCTTACCTCCTGGTGCGAATACGCGTTGCCAGACGGCCATAGCTGTGACGGCGTCGAGGGGGCTGAAGGGGTCATCAATTAAATACAGCGCACGAGGACCAGCAAACCCCAATCGAGTCAACTCGTACTTTTCAAACTCTGCTGCTAATGCCGCTGCTGCAGCAGCAGAAGCACCAGCAGCAGCAGCAGGACCCCCGCTACTCGCAAGGCCCGCATCAGCCTGCTTCTGCTGCTGCTGCTGCTGATAAGCTTCCTTGCATGCAGCAACTGCAGCAGCGCTGTAGATGGCCCTCGCCAAACAAATGCGAGCCCGCTGACCACCTGCATCCACCGACAAACCCTAAACCCTAAACCCTAAACCCTAGTCACCGTCTGCACTGCCTCTCTGCTGCTTCGTTTGTGTCGTCCGCAGCAGCAACAGCACTGGCCTCGCCAGCCCCGCTGAGCAGCAGTTCAAAATGGAAGTGTGGGGGTTTAGGGTTCGTATGTAGAGGTGGAAGGGTTTAGGGTTTAGATACAGTTTAAGGCTTTAGGGTTTAGGCACAGAAGTATAAGGGTTTAGGGTTAAGATATAGAAGTATACGGTTTAGAGTTAGGGTTTGTACAGGAGTCTAGGACTTTAAGGGTTTAGGGTTTAGCTACAGAGGTGAAGGGTTTAGGGTTGATGAATAGGGTTTAAGCAAGGGTTTAGGGTTTAGGGTTAATGACCGCTCAGTCTGTGTCCGCCAGCATCGATGGGGCTGTCTTCTCCTCCTAGCGCAGCAAAATCTTTATCTAGAGCGCATGCATGCAGCACTTTATAAAAAGCAGCAGGCAGCAGCGGCCTCCCCATTAAAATGTTGCTGCTGAGGCTTCCCTCAAAAATTAACGGCTGCTGCGGTGAATACCCCACAAACTCCCAAGGGTCGACGCATTCACATGATCCTGCTGCTGCTGCTGCTGTTGCGGCTGTGGGTGCTGCTGCTGCTGCGGGTGCTGTATATGAAGATGGTGCTGTTGCTGCTGCTGATGAGGGTACCTTTGCCGTGGAGGGATTCGCACCGCCTTTGTCATGTCTGCTGCAGCTGCAGCAGCAGATGCTGCTGCTGCTGCTGTTTCTGTTTTGCCAGGGGAGATTGAGATAAGCCTCTCCTCTCAAGAGACTCATCTCCCCTAAAACAGCAGCAAGAAGACTGCTCTTGCCGCTGCCCGATCTCCCTAAGACGACGTGCAGCTCTCCCGGGTGTATCTGCAGGTCCACATCATGCAGCACAGCGCTGCTGCTCCGCAGACAGTAAGGGGCCTTCTCTTCTGCTGCTGCTGCTGCTGCAGCTGCAGAAGCAGATGCTCGGTCCTGGGGACCACAAGGATCAACACACCCCTTTGCAAGCACCAACCCGCTGTTGCTGCTGCTGCTGCTGCTGCTGGTTTTCTTAGGGCTGTCTGCTGCAAATGCTGTAGGGGAGAGGCAGCAGTCATTCAGAGAAAGAGAATCACTCGGGCGAAGAGGCCGCCAGGCAAAGGCCGCACGCCGAAAGCAAATCACAGCAGACGAAGGAGACGCTGCTGCTGCTGCTGCTGCTGTCTCTGCTGCATCTGCCCGCGGTGCCTCTGCGCTTCCGGTTGCCTCATCGGGCGGCGCAGTCTGATGATAATATTCTATAGGGAGGCTTAATTCAATGCGCGGGTGCTTTTGCTGCTGTTGTTGCTGCTGTTGCTGCTGCTGTTGCTCTTGTTGTTGCTGTTGCTGCTCGTGCTGCTGTTGCTGCCGCTGCTGCTGTTGCTGCTGCTGCTGCAGTTTGAGGTGCATGTGGAGTGCTGCGGGAGTAGGCTTGAGGCATTTGCCGAGTCTTTTAAGTGCAACAGCAGCAGCAGTAATATCTGCCATGAGTGTGGGGAGGCCGTTGAGGGCCTGAAGGGCTTTGTCTATTAGAGAGAGTGCAGCAAATAGGCGGCTAGCTCTTAGCGCCGCGCTGCTGCTGCTGCTGCCGCTGCTGCTGCTGCTGCTGCTGCGGGCTAGGAGACAGCTAAGAGCAGTAACCTTCACAAGGAGAGGAGCAGACACAAACAAACAATTCCCTGTTGCATGCAGGCAGTAGCGGCGGCGCAGCAGCTGCAGCTCCTGCAGCCTCAAGCACCATATACGGGCGAAGGCAAACCTTTCAAACCCCAGCACTTTTGTCTGCCGCACTTGCAGCAGCAACTCTCTGCATGCACGCACTCGGCTGTCTCGACAGCTCATCAGTCGGTGCCCCAGCAGCCGCAAACACCGCCCCAGACGCAGCTGGACAAGCAAACAAATCCCTGTATATTTTGGTGTATATACACCACACACACAAACACAAACAAACAAATCAATCAATATATTTATGTTTATATACACCGCACACACACTGCTGCATCAATTGGATCTGCTGAAGCAGCTGCAACACGTGCTGCAGCAGGTGTTTCTGCTGCATAAACTGGATCTGCTGCAGCAGCGGTATCACGTGCTGCAGCAGCTGTTCCTGCTGCAGCACGTGTATCTGCTGAAGCAGCTGCATTAAATGCTGCAGCAGGTGCAGCAGTAATACGTATATGCCTTACCCGTGAGGGCGAATGCATAGAAGAAAGCTGAAGAAAGCTGTCTGTAGACGAGCAGCAAATTAAGCACCAGAGTTAATGGAGAGGCCCACAGCTCGTGAAGAATGCAAATGCCTGCCTGAGTCCTTTCGCAGTCAACGCTCACCAAGTTCGCCAGCTCAAGTGCAGCAGACGCTGATCTGCTGCTGCTGCTGCTGTTGTTGTTGTTGCTGCTACTGCTGTTGTTGTTGGTGGTGGTGGTGCTGCTGCTGTTGGTTGTGGTGTTCGGGTTGCTGCTGCTGCTACTGCTGCTGCTGCTGGCGATGTCTTTGCCGCTTGCAGAAAAAGAGACTGTTAATGATGGACGCGCCTTTGTTGCACCCGCAGCAGCACCCCTGCCCTGCTGCTGCTGCTGCTGCAGCTGCTGTGGGGTTTGCGGTGTCTCTGCTGCTGACTCATCACCCGAATGGGGGATAATCGCTGCAGCATCGTTGCTTAGTGCCGGCCCTGCTGCATAAACAATCGACATACCGCTGCTGCTGCTGCCGTTGCTGCTGCTGTTGCCGCTGCTGCTGTTGCCGCTGTCGTTGCTGCTGCCTCTGCTGCTTTCGTCTTGCAGTGACCCGCTGGCGACGCTGTCTTCGAATGGGCTCGCAGCAGCAGCAACACCAGCAGCAGCAGCAGGCAAGCTGTGCAGCTGCTGCACCTCTAAGGCGAGACAATCTGTCTCTTCTTCTTCTCCAAAAGACAACTGCCTTGGAGAAGAAAAACCCTCAGGGTATTCCCCACTGTCTCCTTCGCTGTTTCCCTCTTCTTCGCTTAGCGCCTGCAGCAGCAGCAGCAGCAGGAGCAGCAACAGCAAGCGCAGCAGCAAATGCAGCAGTTCAAACCACACAAAAACAGCAGCACAAGCAACAGCAGAAACGAACACAGACGACAGCAGCAGCAGCACTAGCAGCAGCAATAGCAGCAGATCGGGGCTGTATCCTCACCGATAGATAGGATTCCCCGCTGCTGCTGCTGCTGCTTGCTCCTCCATGTTCTGCAGCAGCAGCAACGGCTTCTGCAGCAGCAGCAGCAGCAGTTTCTGCCCTAGCTGCTGCTGTTAACACTGCAGCAGCAGCACCATCAAATAGGGTTTTAGAGACCACACGATGGAGACTACCACCGAAGGAGACAGCGCGAGTAAGGGCCCCCCCTGCGCTTCTGGTCTTCTTCATGCTGCTGCTGCTGCTGCTGCTGTGGCTGTTGCTGCTGCTCTCGCTGCTGCGAGTTCGAAGCAAACGGCATGGAATCCCCTCGGGCACAAGCAACCCGTATCCTGTGCTGCAGGAGAGACTGCTGCTGCTGCTGCTGCTGCTGCTGCTGCGGCTCTCTATCAGCCCAACGTCTTCTGGGGCCTTTACGTCTCCTCGCCACTCATCTGCATCGATTGAACTCATTGGTGTTGCTGCTGCTGCTGCACTGTCAGAAGCAGCAGCAGCAGCGTCAGTGGCTGCTGGTGCAGCACAAGCAACAGCGGCAGCTGCTGCATCGGTGCCTGCTACGAGGTCTGTTCCTGCTGCTTCTTCCACACCTGTTGCTGCTGCTGCGCTGCTGCTGCTGCTGCTGCTGTAGCAAGGTAGGGGAGCGTGCGTCTGCCTAAGTGCTGCTTCAAATACAGCAGCAAGCAGCGCGTTTTTAGCTTTAAGTGCGATACGGCGCATGCAGAAGCCGCAGCAAACATTTAAGAAGACCTGGAGAAAAGCAGCAGCAGCAAGCAGCAGCGACAGCAGCAGCAGCCGGTTGTGGTTCGGCTCGAGGCCGGGCTCCATCCCTCTAGGGGCGAAACTTTCGCTCTCTGCTGCTGCTGCTGCTGCTGCTGCTGCTGCTGCTGTTGGGGGCTGCCGGGGACTCTCTAAGCAAGCCACGATAGCCTCCAGCAGCAAAGGAGACAAAGAAGACAGCAGCACTTCCAGCAGCCGCAGCAGCCCCAGGGGTCCCACACAGGGCGCTATAAGCCGGAAAAGAACGCGGTAGACGCAGAGGTTTTGCTTCTTAGGGTCGCTGCTGCTGCTGCTGCTGTTGCTGCTGCTGCTGCTCCCTGCTGCTCCTGAGGCTGCTGCTGCTGCTTCTGCCAGCAGGCTGCTGCTGATGGAGCTAGCAACCGACTGGATGCTGCTAGTTGTCTCTAGCTGCGGCAGAGAGGCAGCAGCAGCACGGAGTTCGTCTAGCGTCTGGGGTGTATGTGCAGCTTCCGCAATGCGTGCAGCAGAGCTAAAAGACATAAACCATCGCCACGGCCACCAAGAACGTCGAGCAGGAGCTGCTGCTGCTGGTGCTGCTGCTGCTGCTGGTGCTGCTGCTCCAGCTGCTGGTGCTGCTGCTCCAGCTGCTGGTGCTGCTGCTCCAGCTGCTGCTGCTGCTGCTCCAGCTGCTGCTGCACAACCCGATCCTGCAGCTTCTGCATCTGCACCAGGGGCTGGGGAGACAGTCACGCGAAAGTCCTCCTTTGCAGCAGGAGCAGCAGGAGCAGCAGCAGCTACTGTTTCTGCTGCTGCTGCATCATCTTTTGCTGCTGCTTCACTTTGCAGCAGCAGCGGCTCTGTCTCTTGCGACATTGTTGGAAGGAAGAAGACACCGAGTGGTGTCCTTGCCTACGGCGGGCCCTTTAGCCTTTGCTGCTGCTGTTGCTGCAGCTGCAGCAGCAGCTGCGAGGCGAGGCTCGCCCGGCTGCCTCGCAAAGACGGGAGGCGACTGCTACCGGTTCCGCATGGATCCTTCTGTCTAGGGTCTAGGGTTTAGGGTTTAGGGTTTAGGGTTTAGGGTTTGAGGATGTGGGGAACGACAGTCGGCGCTGCGGCTGAGACGAACCCCAGCAGCTGAGGGCCTTGCTGTCTTCTTCCTTGTCTATATTTGTTTGTCTTAGGGTTTAGAGAAGAAGATAATATTATTTTTACACTAAGGCGCCACACATTACCTCTTCGGAGTGCTGTGCTGCTGCTGCTGCTGTTGCAGCAGCAGCAGCAGCCACCTGTGGGGCCCAAGGCATGCCGCTGCCGACAGCAGCGGTAGGGCGGCAGCGGCAGCAGCAGCAGCAGCAGCAGCAGCAGAAGTAGCAGCAGCAAATAAAGGCGAGCAGCAGCAGCAGTTGGAAGACTGCACGTTTGTTTGCTTCGTTTTTAACAGCCTCAAGCCCGCCCTTGGGCGCCCAATGATTGCTGCTGCTGCTGCTGCTGCTGCTGCTGGGCCTCAACACTGCAGCAGTTGCCTTAGACCTGCAGGGGTCTCTTCTGGGGCTTTCATGCACGCAGGCTCAACTGCTGGGACAAAACCGAACAGATTGAAGCCTGAGGAGGCAGCAAATTGCTGCTGCTGCTGCTGCTGCTGCTGGACGCGGCTCGAGGATCGGGGCCCCCGGAACACCAGCAGCAACTGCTGCTGAAGCTGCTGCAGCAGCAGCAACTGAGCAGCCAGCATAGGCGGCAGCTGCAGCAGGAGAAACGGCAGACACTGCAGCAGCGCCCACCTACGGCCCCAAGAGCCGAGGCCCCTCTAGAATCGACAGGAGGGCAGCAGCAACAGCAGCAGCAGCAGCAGCGGCTAAGGCAGCAGCAGCAACAAAAGCAACAGCATCAGTAACAACAACAGCACCAGCAGCAACAGCGGCAGCATCAACAGCCATAACCGCAACAGCAGCCGAAACCGCAACTGCGCCAGCAGCAACATCAGCAGCAACAGCAACATCAGCAGCAACAGCAACATCAGCAGCAGCAGCAGCAGCAGCAGCAGCAGTTGGGGGATTCTTTGGAGGCCAATGGCAAGAAGACTTTTTTTGTTGTCTCCTTTTCCTCACTGGGCTTGCAGCAGCAAAACGCGAGCAGCTGAGTGCGCGAGTCTTGCTGCTGGTGGTTCGCCTTCAGTTGCTGCAGCAGCAGCAGCAGCAGCTGCTGCTGCTGCTGCTGCGTCCTTTCACCACAGGATCTGTTGCAGCTGACAGCAGCAAAAGAAGCAATGCCGATTTCCTCCCTGCGGTGTTCTCGGCCTGAAGCCAACCGGCTGCTGCTGTTGCTGCCGCTGCTGCTGCTGCTGCTGCTGCTGCTACTGGGTGTCGGTGTGCAGCGCGGGCTTGGGTTTGTTCTGATTCCTGCGGATTCTAAAGAAGCTTCTTTTTCTCTTTTGTTTGTTGCAGCTAGAAGCCAGCAGCAACGCAGCAGCAAACCAGCAGCATTAAGACCCCCTCCTTACTCCTTTGCTGCTACTCGCGCTGCAGTGCAGCAGAGCCAAACCACACCGACCCCGAAGCTGCTGCTGCAGCAGCCGCTCCTCAGCGTACAGCAGCGCCTGCAGCAGCAGCAGCAGCAGCAGCGGTTCCAATCAACCCGCGCAGCAGCTGCCTATGACGATGACGTGGAAGCAGCACAAGACATCTTAGAGCTGCAGCAGGAAGGTGAAGAAGAAGCAGCAGCAGCAGCAAATGCTGGAGACATCAGCAACAGCAGCACAGATGGATTCTTTGCTGCTGATGCCGCAGATGAGGAGGAAGCAGCAGCGGGAGGCTCGCTGCTCTCCCAAGCAGCAGCAGCAGCAGACGGAGGCGATGAAGCAGCAGCAGCAGCAGATGGCGCTGACGAAGCATCAGCAGCAGAAGCAGGAGAATTTGCTGCATATTTAGCCGACGAGTCCGACCCCACAGCAGCAGGCGCAGCAGCAGCAACAGCAGCAGCAGCAGCAGGGGCAGCAGCAGGAGAACAAGACTGGCTGTCTCCTCCTTTAACTGCAGCACAGACAGCTGAGAGAGCAGCTTTGCGGCGGCTGCAGCAGGAGCGGGAGGCCCCTTCTTTGAGGCGTTGGCGCGTCTTGGCGGAAGCAGCAGCAGCAGCAGCAACAGCAGCAGAAAGACAAGATATAGAAGACAGACACAAAAGAGAGGGTCTCCCTCCCCCCCACGCGCGCACTGTAGATCAGCTGCCAGTCAAAGCCATCAACATCGGGGGAGAGACAATTCTATACAGACAGGTGAAGCTAGCTAGCTAGCTAGCTGGCTAGTTACATGCCTAGCTAGCTACACGGGTAGCTGGCTAGCTAGATAGATAGGTAGCTAGCTACGCAGGTAGCTAGATTGATAGATAGATAGCTACGCGGCTGGATAGATAGCTAGCTACCTAGCTAGTTAGATAGCTACTCAGCTAGCTAGCTAAATAGCCACATAGGTAGACAGGTAGCTAGAGAGCTAGCCAGGTAGCTAGATATACAGCTGGCTAGCTGTGCAGGCAGCTAGTTGGATACACAGCCAACTAGCTACAGAGCTAGCCAGCTGACTGCACAGCTAGCCAGCTAGCCAGCTAGCGGCTAAGTAGCGAGCAAGCTAACTAGCGGCTAGGTAGATGTCCGGCTAGCTAGCTAGATGCCAGCTAGCCACCTGCGTCGACAGCCAGCGGGCGAGGCACGTAGCTAGCTAGCTAGCTAGCTAGGTGCCTCTCTTCACTGTCACCTGGCTAGCCAGCTAGCTGGCTAGCTAGCCACTGTCTATTCCTTTTGTCTCTATTTTGTTTTTTCTGTCTCCTTTTGGCTGCAGGCGTTGGACTCATCTCCGATGTTCATAGACGTGGAGACATTCGAGCGAATTAAACAACAGTGGGCAGACAACCCTGAAGAACTCAAAAGGCTTCAGCGAGGTCCGCTGCCGCTGCTGCTGCTGCTGCTGCTGCTGCTGTTGCTGTTGGTGCTGCTGCTCGTGCTGCTGCTGCCGCTGTTGTTGCTGTTGGTGCTGCTGCTCGTGCTGCTGCTGTTTGTGGTGGTGGTGGCTTTGCTGCTGCTGTTGCTGTTGCTGTTAGCGGTGGTGGTGGTGCTGCTGTTGTTGTTGCCGCTGATCATGGTGTTGCTTCAGCCTTTGCTGCCGATTCAGCTGCTGCTGTTATTGCTGCTCCTGCTGGTGCTGCTATTGCTGCTGCTGTTGCTGCGGGTAGCGCTGCTGCTTACGGTGGTGCTGCTGGACTCTGCTTCTGTAGAGGCTCTGCAGCAGCAGCAGCAGCGCCACCGCCGCAGCAGCCGGTTAGCAGAAGCAACAGCAGCAGCACGAGGAGCAGCAGCAGCAGCAGCAAATGGGTGTGCATCTGTGTGTGCTGATGGGGTGTCTGTACACCTCAGAAGATAAAGCGAAGTACGGCATATCGGAGTCGGTGCCTGATGAAGAATGGATTCCAATTAAACGCGACCTCCCTCAAGGCCGCCTCGTTGTCTCCCACGGCCTTATACGTACCTCTAAACCCTAAACCCTAAACCCTAAACCCTAAATCCTAAACCCTAGTTTCTAGAATGGAAGACTCTCTAAATACCCCTGAGTTTACCGCATTGCCATTCCTCTCTCAAATGACTCGCGAATACTCCTGCCTACTTCCAAGCAAGGGTTAAGGGTTTAGTGCTTAGGGTTTAGGGTTTAGGGTTTGTTTGTTTAGCGGTGAACGTGACGACTGCGGAAGAGGGATATGATTACGTAGAGACTTACCACGACCCCAAGAGGAACTACACTTGGTCTTATAAGCGCCACAACCCATACAAACAAGTCAGAGCTAAACCCTAAACCCTAGACCCTAAACCCTTCAGCAGCTGCGGGGAGATTTGAGGGCACGCTCACGTTCTTAGCTTCATAGGGCTTGCAGCCAAGGGTTTAGAGGTGCGGCTTCGGGGTTAGCGTCTAGGGATTAGTGTTTGAGGGTTTGAGGGTTTGTAGTTGAGGGTTTAGGGTTTAGGGTTTAGGGTTTATGCGTGCAGCCTGGGGAGCCGGGTACGGAAGGCGAAGAGGGGGAACCTCTTTCTTATCGTCTTCAGACAGAAGAAGACCGCCGATATTATTTAGAAGAGACAAACCCCCCTCAAAGAGAAAAAGATGATGGGGTTGCTAGACAGGCAACTCTCGCAGAAGAAATGATCTCCGGTACGCTTTAGGGTTTAGGGTTTAGGGTTTAGGCTTTAGGCTTTAGGCTCTAGGGTTTAGGGTTTAGCGCTTGGGGGTTAGGGTCTAGGATTTAGGGTTACGGGTGTTGGGTTTAGGGTTTAGGGTTTAGGGTTTAGGGCTTGGAAGTTAGGGTCTAGGATTTAGGGATAAGGGTGTAGGGTTTAGGGCTCAGCGGTTAGGGGTTTGGGTTTAGGATTTAGCATTTAGGCTTTAGCGTCTACGGCTTAGGGTTTAGGGTTTAGGGTTTAGGGTTTAGGGTTTGCATTGTGGCTTTTGGGGCGATTGCTTACGGGCGCTTGCGCACTTGCGTTTGTCTCTGTCTCTGTCTGTCTGTCTCTCTTTGTCTTTGTCTTTTATTTTATTTTCGCCTTCTTTCTTTTCTTCTTTTTTATATTTCCTCTTCACCTTTTTTTGTATCTCTTTAATTCTCTCACACATTTTTATTCCTATCCATTATATTATATTATTTTGAACTACACTTTTTATTTTATTTTATTTTATTTTATTTTATTTATTTTATTTATTTTTCTTTTATAGGCATGCGACGAAGCCCAGCAGGTGAAGAGCAGGATCGCTTCATTCCGGAGGCTCCCTTTGGGGTTTTAGCTCAGCAGCAAAATGCTGCAAGGAGTTTCAGTGCAAGAGATATACCCTGGCTGCAGCAGCTGATTGCTCTAAGGCAGCAAACGAAGCAGCAGCAGCAGCAGCAGCAGCAACAGCAACAGCAGCAACAACAACAGGAGGAGGAGGAGCAGCAACATGGGGTACAACAGGAGCAGCAGCAACAGCAGCAGCAACAGGCGCAGCAACAACATCAACAGCAGCAGCAGCAGCAGCAGCAGGTCCAACTATCTTCTGCTTCTTCTTTTTTTAATCCTCCTCTAATAGGAGAGCCTGGAGAGCTGCTGCCGCCTCCACCTCTATTCGCTCGCCCTGGGGGCCCTCGTATGAGCAGCGCGGAGGCTCTGCATCGTCAATACTTGCACATTTCTCTTCCTTATTCTACTGGCTGTTCTTCGCCTAAGGTATATCTACCAAAGGGACAGATTCCCCCTATTCCGCAGCAACCCGAACCTCCTGCTGCTGCAGCTCCTGCTGCTGCAGCTCCTGCTGCTGCAGCCCCAGCTGCTGCTGCTTCTGCTGCTGGCGAGGCTGCTGCTGCGGATGGTGGTCCTGCTGCAGCAGCTGCTGCTGGTGCTCCTGTTACTGGTGGGGGTTCAGTTGCTGCTGATGCGGGATTTCCGGCTGGTGGAGCTGCTGCTGCGGCTCCTGTTGCTGCTGCTGCTTCTGCTGCTGCTCCTTGGTGTGTATCTTATCGTCAACTAGGTCGTAGCGATTTGTTTGCTTCGGAGGTTGGACTGGGTACAATGTTCATGGGGGGCCCCCAGGGGCCCCCCGCTGGTGAAGGAAATTATAACAATGCGGGAGAGCTTCTATCTTATGCTGTAGACGTGTGGGGTATAAACTTCATTGATACAGCTGAGGTGTATCCTCTCCCTATCTCCAGAGACACCTGGGGAAGAGCAGAAGAAATCGTAGGGCAGTGGATAGCTTCCAGAGGTAGCAGCAAACGACAGCAAATAATTCTTGCTGCTACTGTGGGAGGAGACACAGACAAAATCCCTTCACTTCAAACCCATGCTGCGTATGGCTAGCACCCCCACAACAACACACCGGCGCTGCTCATGCTGCTGCTGCTGCTGCTGCTGATGCTGCTGCTGATGCTGCTGCTGGTGATGCTGCTGCTGCTGCTGGTGATGGTGCTGGTGATGGTGCTGCTGCTGCTGCTGCTGCTGCTACTCCTGCTGTGTGTTTGATTTGGTATTAACCATCGGGCTGAGTTAGGGAGCAGCAGCTGCTTGGATTTGCTGCTGCGTTTTCTGCTACTGCGTTTGCTTGTTCTGCTGCTGCAGTAGACGTGGGGGCCTTTCTGCTGCTGCGATTGTTGCTGCTGTTGAGAGCAGCATGAAGAGGCTTCAGGTGTCTTACATCGATTTGCTGCAGCTGCACTGGCCCTCACGTTATGTACCCAGTCAGGAGACAGGAGACAGTGCTGATGTTCTCTTTGATATACCTGTCAGCCAAACCCTAAACCCTAAACCCTAAACCCTACCACCGCTCCTCCTTGCCAAACACCCACAGCAACAGGCGAAAGAACGAACAGTCTCTCTGTCTCCTTTGTCTCTTTATGTGCATTCTCTCTCTCCTCTGTCTCTCTCTCTCTCTCTCTCTCTCTCTCTCCCTCTATATATATACATATTCACATATATATACTTATAATATATTTATCTACATACATATATATATATATATTTTCCGTCTCCTTTGTCTGTATATATATTCTGTCCCCCTTTTTCGTTTTTGTCTCTTTGCCTACATATATATGCTGCTTTTTTTGTTTTGTTTTTCTCTTTAAGTTGATTATTTGTCTCTTTTGTTTAGTCTTTTTCTCACGTGCAGACAGCAAAGGCAGTAGAAAAAGGAGAAAGTGCAGATGAAGGCATGCATGCATTTCTTGATGCAGTTGAGATTCTTTTAAGGGACGGAAAGGTAACAAACGAAACCCCACACGTTCATAAGGGAGACGAAACGAACACTGGAATCGAACGATCCCAAAATGGGATCGGACGATCCCACCCCACACTCCTCCCCACAGCAGCAGCTCAAGGCTCTTCTCAGAGAGAACAGCAGCAGAAGCAGCAGCAGGAGCAGCAGCACCAATTGCGGCAACAACACTCGAAGCATAGAGAGTAGCAGCAGCCAAAGCAATAGCAGCAGAAGCAGCAATAGCAGCTACAGCAGCAACAGACAAAACGGCAATAGCAGGACAAGCAGCATCCGCATCATCAGGAGCAGCAGCAGCAGCAGCAGCAGCAGCCTCAGCATCACTATTAGCAGCAACAACTGCATCACTATTAGCAGCAACAACTGATTAGCAGCCTCAGCATCAGCACCAGCAGCCGCAACTGCAGCAGCAGCAGCAGCATTACGATGATTATTTGTGTGTTGTTTACTTCAGATTCGTGCGTGGGGTTTGTGCAACGAGACAGCCTTTGGCTTGCTGCGGTACTGCCAGCTGGCAAAGGCGAGAGGCCTGCAGCCCCCAGCAACCGCGCAGGTCTGCTATAACTTGCTGCTAAGAAATGATGTAGAGAAACAACTTGTTGAAGCAACAAGACCTCAGAATTCAGGCAATTAAACCCTAAACCCTAAACCCTAATCATAACTTGCTGCTAAGAAATGATGCAGACCCTAGACTCTCAACCCTAAAACTTAAACCTTCGATCGGAGGCGTCAAACTCCAGACGGTGGAGCGTAAACCCTAAACCCTAGACCCAAACAGCACGCAAACAAACGAACAAAAGGGAAAGGAATGGGTGCAGGGGCAGGCAAATGGTGTATGCATGCAGCAATCCCATTGGGGTGTATGCATGCATGCATACACTGTGGGGTGTATGCATGCATACAGCAGTCCCATTGGGGTGTATATGCATGCAGCAATATCTGTTTCATTATTCCTTTTAGGTGTATCTCTGCTGGCTTACGGAGCGTTGGCTGGGGGTTTGTTGACTGGTAAATATTTAGAGTGGTTGGAGTACCCCACAGCTGGACGTCTGCTTCGCTTTCCTTCATATATGCGTAGACTCAGGTGAGCATACACCCCAAAGGCTTAGCTGCATGCATGCACCCCACAGGTTTTGCTGCCTACCTGTTGTTTTTTATTTGTACAGTATGCTATCATTAGTTTGTTTAAATTGTTTATTATTATTATTTATTCATTTATTTATTTTCTTTTCTTTTGTTGCTTTGTTTAGGGGTTCGATTGCAGCGAAGGCAGTAAAAGAATATTTTTTTTTAGCCCGCAGATTTGAACAGCCAAATTTAACAGCCGTGGCGCTGAAGTGGGTTTTAAAGAGACCCTTCATCGCATCTACTGTACGTACACCCCAATTCCTTATACTTATATATATATATATATATATTATATGTGCAAGTAATTTATATCCATGTATCTATCTATCTATCTGTATATACAGGTCTATCTATCTATTTATTTATGCATGTATCTATTTATTTATGTATATATATCTATTTATGTATGTATGTATGTATTTATGCATGCATCTCCTGCTATCTATCTCTCTAACTATGCATTGTGTGCGTATGTTTGTGTGTATGTGTAAACTGTTCGTTTGTTTATTATATATATTATATACTTCATTTGTATTATTTTTTTATTTGTTATTAATCTATTAGTTTCACTTGGAGTGTATGTACAGATTTTAGGGTTTAGCGATTCCCCTACCAACATAATATTTATTTATTTCTTGTTTGTTTATTTGCCTATCTGTCTATATGTTACATATATATATACATATATATATATTTATATATTTATTTATTTCATTTGGGGTGTATGTACAGATATTAGGGTTTAGCGACTACTACCAACTGCGCGAAAACCTGCACTGTCTTCATCCTTCAGCGGGCGCGTTGACAGATTGGATGGAGAGAGAAATAAACTTTCTTCACTGGAAGTGGAGGGACCCCTTAAAACTAATCCATTAAACAAACAGCAAACATAAACAAATAAACTAATCATATAATATATATATATATATATATATATAATGTAATAAAATATAAAAATATAATACCAGCATATGTATACACATATTATCTATATTGAGTATATTATCTAATATATAAAATATGAATATCTAATATCTATACAATATAAATATCTAATATCTATACAATATAAATATCTAATATCTATTATATATATATATATATATAATGTATATTAACTATGAAATATAAATATATGAAAACTATAAAATATAAATATCTAGTATCTATAAAATATAAATTTTTTATAAACTAAAGAAAGCAAAAAAATGGGGCAGCAACGGCGAGTCGCTGCACCTGCCTAGACACCGCAGCACGCGCTGCCGCAACAGCGCAGCAGCATCATTTGCTGCTGCTGCTGCTGCGGCTGTTGCTGCTGCGGCTGCTGCTG